TCAACACTTCAAGAGTAAGCTGCTTAATGAACTATTTCCTTACGTCAACACTTCAAGAGTAAGCTGCTTAATGAACTATTCCCTTACGTCAACACTTCAAGAGTAAGCAGGTTAAAGACTAGACTTTACTGGCAGCTAATCAGTGTTTCTAGCAGTGTTTAAGCAGAAACTAGAAAGGCTAATGAACTCTCAGTAAAAGAACAACAATAGCACCAAATAAAGTATTTCTACTTAGCCTGTGATTATCATATTAGTGTAAATTTTTATATCCGTTTCACTTTCTTCATTAGTTCTCTTTGTGTACGTGCAAATGATAAAAAAAGATAAATGCTTAAAGTCGATAGGAACCATTTTAGAGCCACTTCGGGCCCCCAGTGGCACAGCGGTATGTCTGTGGACTTACAACGCTAGATTCTAGGTTTCGATACCCGTGGCGGGCAGAGCACAGATAGCCCAGTTTGTAGCTTCGTTTGGATTCTCCCATTTCTTCACAAATATGTAACATTCTACAGATGAGATCCTTGAACTGTACAGTCCTTCTAAGTAAATGTATTGTGTTTATGTTCTTCGTCTCCAGAGGGCAATGAACTGGGATCACTTACACTATTTAAAGTTTACTCTTTGGCGAGTAAAATATCCTGGAAACGTAACAAATTCCTTAACATTTTTTTAGGGTTAGTCAAATGATCGTATAGTGAAGCGAAGTAGATACCAGTTATTATTTAATTGTAGCGAGAAATATGTCAATATTGTCGCTAAAACAAACCGTTTTTCATTTCAAAGATATTATCTTTACTTCTGTTTGGCTAATTAAACAACGTCCATTTTAATAAATTTAAATTTGTGAAAAGACGTGTTTAATAGATTATTTTAATTGTTTTTTACATGTTTTAAAAACTTGTTACTTAAGATAATTACATCTGATATATTTCGTTTCACTGTTCGTCTCTGATTTTACTTTTTCATTAAACTAAAAATAAAAGGTTTTTGTGAAAGCTCAGTAGTTTCATAGATTATAGTAACTGATATTTTAAAATGTAATCTATTAAATTGTTAATTGACAATTTAGTTTCTGAAAAGTATTCGATAATATTTTTAACTAGCCTTTCGTCAGAAAGTTGTTATTTTTCTCGTCACTAGGAATCGCTGGAATTCTTGTCATGGGAGTGGGAATTTTCACTAGTGGAACATTTATGCGCAAGTTTAGGCCTAGTGCTCGCGCGGTGGCGTGCTGGATTGCCTTAGCAACCCTTGCCTATTCTGTTGGAATGGTTCTTCTTATGTTCATAGGTTGTCCCCTTAACATACAGATCGATATGAACGAGACTGGGTGAGTTTTTGTTTTTTGTTGTTGTTGTTGTTAAATATCCGAGTATTAAAATTACCGTTAGGACTATACTGTTGTGAGATTGTGCGTGTGTTTTTATAATGCAAGTTGAGTATAGGTGACACAGGAAGAGACAGAATATAATCAGTGATGTCGCCGATAGAGGGCGTATTTTCTGAATAAATTCGCTAATTTCATACTAGCTTTATTTTTCCGAAGCGCTGAACTAACATGAGCATAATTTTTAGTTTTACCTGTGATGATAATACACCTCTGTTTATAAAATGTAGTAGTTTCCCGTTGTTGTTGTTTTTTCATTACTTTGTTATTTTAATATTTGAAATTTAATTGAGTGAATCATTTTTTTTCAAGACCAGGATAAAAATTTAATAATTTAATTAAATTGTCACTCTTACGTATTTTTGCATTTTCCTTTGATATCCAAAAAAGCCTACAATATTTTTTATAATTATTATTTTCTCTAGAGACGTGCTGCCATCTACCGTATCGAAATGTAACGAAACTTGTAACTGTCGTTTGGGTGTGTTTGCACCGGTTTGTGGTGGTGACGGAGTGACATATTTATCCCCATGCCAAGCTGGCTGCACTGGAGTGCCTACTGACTTTGGCGGGGAGGTAATAAACCAAACTTTAACTATTCGTTACTAGTTTGTCTTGTATCTGTTCGATACCCGTACTAAACCAATCTTGAAGCGTACTACGTATATATTAAACTATCGCTATATACGCTGAGAATCCATGAAGTTTTTTATTCAGTTTATAAAATACTCACTAATTCGTATTTCAAACAACCTATTTAGTGCCTAGTCTTGTCGTGATGAAATTTGTACTTAATAACAAGTTAGCAAACTTGTTGGTTAATATAGGGTTACTTATGTGTGATTTAAGATATCTGTTGTTTTTCATTACACAGATAGCATACGTGTATATTTAACTTTGAATTTCAGAATAAAAATATTTTAAAAAATTGTTTTTAATATTTGTTTGTAAAAATAGTTGAAGTATTATATATTTAACGTAAGAAAGAATTTACTTAATAGCAATATATTAAGTTGTTGTTGATATAGTATCAGAAATATTAGTTAGTACATAGCGATTAACTCTTTAATTATAGACTACCAAACAAATCATTGTGTAATTCACTCAAAAGTAGTAAATTGGAACCCTTATCATCAGATAACAATCCATTCATAAGTTTTGAAAATCAGAAGTGAAACTTACTCAAAGAAGGTCACCAATGAACATTTATCAGAGTTAAACTTGCTCAAAGAAGGTCACCAATGAACATTTATCAGAGTTAAACTTGCTCAAAGAAGGTCACCAATGAACATTTAACAGAGTTAAACTTACTCAAAGAAGGTCACCAATGAACATTTATCAGAGTTAAACTTACTCAAAGAAGGTCATCAATGAACATTTATCAGAGTTCAACTTACTCAAAGAAGGTCACCAATGAACATTATCAGAGTTACTACCTAGAACAAACCATTCTCACTAGGTGGTGCGATAAACGAGATATATTAATGTAGAGATGTTTTAACAATATTAAAGAGTTTTGTCTGCTTTCTGGGAAGTTTCGTAAGGCCTCATTTAGCAATGTGGATCATTCTGTTGTTCATCCAAAACCCAAGGAAACCAACACAACCTCCATATCAGTTAGGGAACAAAGAAAGCAATTCGCTATCACATGGTTCGTGAAATCAACACCACCTCCATATCAGTTAGTGAACAAAGAAAGCAATTCGCTATCACATGGTTCGTGAAATCAACACCACCTCCATATCAGTTAATGAACAAAGAAAGCAATTCGCTATCACATGGTTCGTGAAATCAACACCACCTCCATATCAGTTAGTGAACAAGAAAGCAATTCGCTATCACATGGTTCGTGAAATCCCCCTCACAATGCATAATGTTATCACATAGTTCATGAAATCCTCCACGCGTGACTCATAATGTTGTCACATAGTTCGTGGCATCTTCTCACGACCCATAACGTTAATAGATGGTTCGTGAGATCCCCTAACGACCTATAAAGTTATCACATGGGGATCAAATCAGTTTTTCTTGGCTTTTATCTCTCCTGAGACCCCTTTCCCCCAGTAGCTCAGCGGTTAGTCTACGGGCTTTACGACGCTAATTAAGGGCTACAAATACGCAGGATAATATGATAATTCAGGCCGACGTATTGATGGGAGAGTACGGTCATTGAAGTCGATATCCAGGCTGACGTATTGATGGGAGAATACGTTCATTGAAGTCGATATCCAGGCCGACGTATTGGTGGGAGAATACGGTCATTGAAGTCGATATCCAGGCTGACGTATTGATAGGAGAATACGGTCATTGAGGTCGATATCCAGGCCGACGTATTGGTGGGAGAATACGGTCATTGAGGTCGATATCCAGGCCGACGTATTGGTGGGAGAATACGGTCATTGAGGTCGATATCCAGGCCGACGTATTGGTGGGAGAATACGGTCATTGAAGTCGATATCCAGGCTGACGTATTGGTGGGAGAATACGGTCATTGAAGTTGATATCTAGGCCGACGTATTAGTGGGAGAATACGGTCATTGAAGTCGATATCCAGGCTGACGTATTGATGGGAGAATACGGTCATTGAGGTCGATATCCAGGCCGACGTATTGGTGGGAAAATACGGTCATTGAAGTCGATATCCAGGCCGACGTATTAGTGGGAGAATATGGTCATTTAGTATACGAATATATAGTTGTTTTCTCCTTTCAAAAGTAAAATATATTTAATTCTTTTAACAAAGACGAAAACTATCGCCATTAATTTATTTGAGTGTTATTTCTCATGTGATAATTGGAACAATCATTAGCCTAATTTTTAAAAATTGAAGATCCCGATATTAATTATGTCAGTTTTGTTAGGATACAAAATCTGAAGCTTTTGTCGTTGTTAAATTCGATTTGGTAAAATAATAAATAGATCAGGCATCGATTTGGTAAAATAATAGATCAGGCAGGAACAACTTAGAAGTTAAAGTCACTGTGATGAACGTATGTTTTCCACTCCACAAATTGGCCAACTGGTCTTAAACGAATCGGGATTTTTTTCCCCTTTCCGCAAAGGTTGTTTCTAGTTTGTTTGTTTGTAATTAAGCACAATGGGCTCTACCCACCACGGGTATCGAAACCCGGTTTCTACTGTTTTCTAGAAAATATATATAAATTTTGTTTTTTCACCAAATCAATCAGTCTGCTGGATAAAGAAAAAAATGACAAAGTAAAGATGCAGCTGATGTCCGAATCACCATATTCCACAAGGAGGTGACAAGTGTGAGTGTCAGGGTCTAGAAGTTGTGTAAAATTACAGGTTTACACCAAATTTATTTGCTACTTTGTAGAATATTAACTTTCGTCAAGACTGTTCGACATATTCGTGTATTTGTTTCATTTCACCTCATTCATTTACAGTACGTGTACAGCGACTGTCAGTGTCTGGGGAAAAACATGACTGCCACCAATGGTTACTGTCCATTACAGTGTGACAGACTTCTGTGGTATACAATCATCTTCTCCCTTTTCATTCTGATCCACTCAACATCTGAGGTTGGTTCCATGTTGTTAACACTGAGGTGAGAGAAAGTACTGAAATAGTAGCCAGACTTTAAAACTAAAGTTAAAGTAGAGTAAAGTGACGTCTGGTTTAGTAGCCAGACATTAAAACTAAAGTAAAACTAGAGTAAAGTGACGTCTGGTTTAGTAGCCAGACATTAAAACTAGAGTAAAGTGACATCTGGTTTAGTAGCCAGACTTTAAAACTAGAGAAAAGTAGAGTAAAGTGACGTCTGGTTTAGTAGCCAGACATTAAAACTAAGGTAAAACTAGAGTAAAGTGACGTCTGGTTTAGTAACCAGATATTAAAACTAAAGTAAAACTAGAGTAAAGTGACGTCTGGTTTAGTAGCCAGACTTTAAAACTAAAGTAAAACTAGAGTAAAGTGGCGTCTGGTTTAGTAGCCAGACATTAAAACTAAGGTAAAACTAGAGTAAAGTGACGTCTGGTTTAGTAGCCAGACTTTAAAACTAAAGTAAAACTAGAGTAAAGTGACGTCTGGTTTAGTAGCCAAATATTACAACTAAAGTAAAACAAAAATAATATTTGTTTTAGCTGATTGTTGTACTTCTTTGTTTACATATTAAGTAAGAGTTGGCGAACAGAAATAAATCTTTTGAAAAAATGAAGCATTTCACAGTTACGAAATAAAATAAGTTTATTCGGTGAAAAAAATTCACTTGCTATGTCTTCACTTGCTGTGTCTTCAATTGAAGTTGCATTAACGAAATTTAAGCTTTGATTAAATTGGCGCAGAACCTTATCATATTTTCTGGATATTTCTCCAACATAACTGTTCAGTTATATGCATAGCCAACTGTAGTAAATATGATTATAACTGATCCTTTTCTGGAACTTACTGTTCTTGGTTACGCAAGTTTTCAAAGTTTTGGTTTTCATGTTTGAAATTTAACCAAAATCTGTCACTAATGTTAAAATTTAGAAAATTATCCTGTTCAGTACGTTTATTATATGCTGATAACTCGTAGATTCCTGTTCAGTACGTTTATTATATGCTGATAACTCATAGATTCCTGTTCAGTACGTATATTATTATGCTGATAACTCATAGATTCCTGTTTAGTACGTTTATTATTATGATGATAACTCATAGATTCCTGTTCAGGACGTTTATTATTGTGTTGATAACTCATAGATTCCTGTTCAGTACGTACATTATTATGCTGATAACTCAGATTCCTGTTCAGTACGTATATTATTATGATGATAACTCATAGATTCCTGTTCAGTACGTATATTATTATGCTGATAACTCATAGATTCCTGTTTAGTACGTATATTATTATGCTGATAACTCATAGATTCCTGTTTAGTACGTATATTATTATGCTGACAACTCATAGATTCCT